CTCCTCTATGGCGCTCGCTCTCCAGAGCCCCCGGCCCCACCCCCTCCAGGGGCTGCTCCTGCCTCTGCAATGAGGCCTCCTGGGCCCGGTCTGGGACGGGGACCCCTTGGGCTCGCGTTCAGGGGAAGACAGGAGGGGCGAGTGCCTCGGGACGGACAGCTCCTCAGGGGAGCGATCAGGTCAGGGAGGGCGTGTCTGAGGAGCTGCCACTGAGCAGAGGGGAAGATGGCAGGACTGGGACGGCAGGAGGGAGCGCCGGCATTTGGGCTGTGGCCGCGGAGCCCCGCCCTCTGCCCAGGACCTGCCTCACACATTGCCTGCTGAGAGCTCAAGGCGCCCCCCCCGCCCCCTCCCCCATCAGACCGCGTGCGGCCAGCAGCTGCCCGGACTCACCGGCTCACAGCAGCCGCCTCCTCTTGCGGGCGTGCCGGCCATGCCGCGTCTGGAGCACATCAAAGTCGTCGAGATCGTCCGGGCAGGAGGGGGCAAGGTCTTGGGCTCCCTGAAACAGGGGACAGTAGTGACCCTGCAGCCAGGACGGATGAGATGAGCAGTGGGAACAGTGAGGAATGGGCTGAGGGAGCCGTGGACACCACACACTATGGGGGCGGGGGCCTCTTCCCCTTGGCATCTGGGTCCAGCCAGGTCTCTAGGGCTCGTCAGCCCAGAAGACGGCCCTGGGACCCCTAGGCAAGGCCTCAGGCTGGAGCGAGCCCCAGGGAGGGGGACCCAGCCTCAGCCACAAGCCCGGCCTCCCAGGTGTCAGCCAGCCCAGCAGCCACGGGCACCCAGACGGGAGGGAGGCAGATGCTCCCAGGATACTGCCAGCACTGGACAGCCTCCCTGACGGGCACAGCGTGCCTGCTCGCCGACAACAGGGCCTGGCTGCGACTGCTGGGTGGCGCAGCAGGAGGTGCAGGGACACCTCCCGAGGGGTTCCTACCAGGTTCCTCGGAGGAAACAGGGACCCCAGACCCACCTGCAGCTCAGAAAGCCTGAGGGTGCGGTGCAGGGCTGGGTGCACCACCCAGGGTGGGTGGGGGCCGAGGGCTCCCCGGGTCAGAGGAGGGTCCTTCCTCTCACAGCCACAGCGGCCCAAGGGGAGGCGCCTCTGCACAGTCCGCATGCAGCCTCGTCCCCTCCACACCAGCCACTCTCCCACCACTTCCACCTGCTGCAGCCCCACCCACCACCCTGGGCAGGCCACACGGGCGGGCAGGGCAGCGTGGGGGTGCAGCGCTGTGCTCATGGCCACCCACCTGCACCGGGGGTGTGGCCGCAGGCCCTGCCTGGGCACTGCTGCTCGCCCGGACTGGCTGCCTGCTGCTATCAGAGTGCGCCAGCTCCTCCATGTCCTCGTCCTCGCTCCCCGAGGTGGGCCTCGCGGCTGACAAGGTGGTACGGACGCCGGGAGGGGGCAGGGTGGCCAGCAGCGCAGGCAGAGGGAAGGCAGCCAGGAAGCGGGCCTTTAGCAGCAGGTAGGCCGGGCTGTCCTGCAGCTGCTCCCGCACCCCCCCCCGCGAGGCCTGCAGGGTGCCAGCCGCCCCGCCGGGCACCAGGGCTGCGGCTCTGTGCTCCAAGGCCTTCTTGTGGAGCAGGAGGCCAGACAGTGCCCGCAGGCCGCACAGGGCGGGGGGCTGGTAGGGCAGTCTGCTGCCCAGTGGGGGCACACACACCCCCCGCTGCCCCCGGAGCCACTCCTGCACGGCTGGCTCGCTCTCCTGGGAGAGCAGGCTGAGGTCCAGGGCATCCTTCTCAGGCCCGCGCTGGGGTGGGGGTGGCCTCTCCAACCCCAGAGGTGCCCTGGTCCCCTCTGGCTCTGCTGGGGACAGCAGTGTCCTTCCTGGGCCAGCACCAGGGGGCAGAGGCAGCTGGCAGGGCTGGGCTTCTGCAGGGATCTGGGGGGGCGGGGCTGGCGAGAGAGCCTCGAGGTCTGCCCTGGAGGCAGGGCCTGGTTCTGCGTCCCTGTTGGCTTGGCCCTGGCCTCCTGGAGTCTCCGTCAATGAGGGCAACAGAGTCACCGCCAGCCCTTGGGGGTCAGGGGTCGCTGCTGGCCCGGGGAGGCCCAGCACAGTTGGCAATGGGACGGGGAGCAGCACGCTGCCGATAGGCAGAGGGGCGCTGGCGGCCGCGTGGGGCCCGCCCCTGAGGGTGCC